TGCTACTGTTTTAAAAGATATGTATCTTTTCACTGGTTTTACGGGAACACACTAGATAACCTGTTCTGATCTCCTGAACTCAGTCATCCGAAATATTTCTCTGAACTGAAAGCTCATTGTCCGTTACCACCTGAAATATCAGTAGGATCTCTGCTCAGCATAAAAATCTGTAAATGTTCGGAAACAATAAAGAAATATATATTTATCTGTATCTGCACGTTCATCAGCATCATCTGGTAGTTCTGTATTACTGAGCTTTTCGAAGCTCACTCTATTACTCACATTTTCAGGTTAAAAGAATTGTACCAGTGCATCTATCGACTTCAGTAAGGGAGTTTTTCCGGTGCTGTTTGCAGAGTATGGTGCATGTGATTAGGGGGCATGTAATTGTATTTTGATTTATATACGAGTTTGGAAATCTGTTTTATTTTTAAATAGTGAAAACTGATTTTATAAGTTTACATGTTCTGATAAAAAGTTTTAAATTTTCTGCTATAATTACAGTGGGTCACTCCGGTGTGACACCCCGGATCGGATCAGGTTACGCTTATCGGTCTGAGGGGTTACATTCACCCACTTCTTATCCTTAAAATTGTATACCCATTCATTTCCCCGAGTTAGCCACATCTGAGCCTATTCCCAATCTTTATTTTCATTACATTTTTAAAACGTGAGCTTTTTTATTTATCCCTCTTTTATAACCTTATCAGGACAAGCGAACGATTAACTGAATGTATGATCATGCTATAAGGAAAAACCCAAAAAGAAAAAAAAACAAAAACAATTCAAAAAAAATTTGTTTGATGTTTGTTTCTTATTTTTGTATTGTTTTTACTTTACTTTATTTATTTCGTGGACTTTGATCTAATTATTTATGAGTTTATTATCTTGTTCTTTACCCATGTTTCTAGCCTTTCTCCCCACCTTTACCTAAGCCTCGTTACAACATGTTCAAGGCCTTTTAATTATTGCATCTTGTTCTAACAAGTAACGTAGATTTGATTTTCTTACAGGATTATGGTAATATCATGTGTGGTTCCGACCATTGAACGTTTTAACACCCAAAACACATTGAGTGATTTGAGTGAACTTTTTGGGTATTGAGTTAGGTTGCATTGAGGTTAATGGATGAATGAATGTCATGATCTTGCTTAACTTAATCCAACTTATGCTTTCCAATTGATTGATATCTTGATTTGGATGATTGTTGTGAACTTGACTTGCATGGCTTTCTAGGATGTGAGACTTGATGAAGAAAGATAAATGGAGTTCTGACTTGTTTAATTGAAGCATGCTTAAGGAAAAGAATGAGATAAGTGAGAGAGAATTTGATGAGTGTTTTAAATTGTATATATTTACTTGTTAATTTTCTTGTGTTGTCGATTTATTACTATTGATTTGGTTATGTTTCACTTATTTATGTGCAATAATCTATTTTTTAAAACCAGTAGTAAGAAGAGCACATTCTGCATTTTTTTATTATCTTATCGTGGTTGGAGGCATGGGCACAACCTGGAACATGATGCAGCCTGACGTGGCAGATTCCAAAAGATCCGGTCATCAATAACGGTTTCTAGAAGCATTCTAGTCAGCATTATCTAGGAAGATGATGGACAAAATCTTTATGAATCTAAATTTAAGTTTGAATACAAAAAAAAACTTTGGATTTATCTTTTAATGTTTAGGATAATTTATCTTTGAATTTTCATGTTATCTTTTGGGTTTTAGAAAGCTATAAACCCCTTAGGGTAAAGCTTGAAACACACTTGGATTCGATTTGTTTTTATTTTCTTTTTACTTTTATAAAAGTTTTTCTTCTTTTCATATTTGTTTTTACTTTAAGTTTATTTTTTCTTATTTTTCTTAAAAATGCTAAGTATGATTTTTATCATGCTTAGCTAATTTTCTCATTTAGTCGATGGCTTAGTGATGACTCAATTCACAGTGTGAGAATTGAAAAGCACTTAAAATCTTCAGATAACATTCTCAGTTTTATGTAAACTTGGATTGACAATCAGCCTTTCCTTTAAAAAATTTAACACTTTCATCTCCGAAAGAGCTCGTTAGTCTGAATGTTGTTCTAATTTAAAGTGGGGAGGAAGAATTGGCTAGTAGTAAGTTCGACTTCCTAGGAACACACTTAGCGGCGGTCCGCTAAGGGAAATTGAGATCGGATTTAATTCTCATTGAGACAATATAATCCGAGTCGGGCTTTTCCAATACTTAAAATTGTTTCGATGCTAACAGCGATTGTTGTAGTTAGTCCAAATAAGGACTGAATTTCAAAGATTTACTTGGGAAAATCGGTTTATTGGAGAGAAAAGCAAGTTTCAAAGGTTGGGCCTTGTAGAATGTAACATGCATGAATCCCGAAGTAAAATCTCTTTCGATGATTAAAATGAACTGAGGCAAAGCGAAGCTTAAGGTTATTTTATTTAATTGATTTCCTTCTCTCAAATTTTACTTTCGTTGTTTTTCTATATTTCATTTTTCACAATCAATTTTACTCTTTTACATTTATTTCCGAGCTTTTAACTAAAACCCTTCATTTTCTTTACTTTTCCATCAAAGTCAGAATCAAAAACCTCCCAACGTCAGAAGCTCCCTAGTCCCTGTGGATTGACCCTTCTTCTCTTTAATATGCTTTTTAATTATATACTTTGAGATTAAGGATTATTTATTTGACAATATATGACACTTTTCAATGAGCAATTCAAAGTTTAATTACCTCGAGTTGGAGGATCGAATATATCTCTCATCGGTTCAAGTCGAGCGGTCTAGATTTTTTAAGTCTTATATCGTTAAGTTGAAGGGGAAATTCATTATCATTGAAGTTTTACCCTTAAGTTGGAGGATCTTTTTTCCGTTGAATAAAGTTAGCTAGAGTGCAAAGGAAATATATCTTTTTTAATCTTTACTATGTTATCATTTCTCGATAACGAGTAAAGAGGAACAAATATAGACGCATATTTTTTTTTCTCGAGCTATGAGCCCAAACTAAACTCGAGCCCAATTTGGAAAATCACTGCCAAGGTCCAAATTGTACCCTAAATTATGCTCACCCCTAACCCTAATTTATATAGAACCCTAGCTGTCATTTGTCTCTTCTTCGGCCACACGACACTATCGACCACCTTATCCACACCAATGATCAATAATCTCCCAAAACTAACCCTTATTATTATCCTCATTTCAAACTTAGCACCATTTTATCTTAACCAACACAACAATAAAAATCACCTAAAATTGTATTTATTTAAACTTGACGACGATCAACAAGAAAAAAGATGAGAGGAAGAGAAATCTGTAAAAAAAAAAAAAAAGTGATAAAGAAATCAAGAAAAGAAAAAGAAATAGAAGCAAAAGTTTTACTTTTTACCGTCTGGCGATTTCTAGTCATTGGAGTAACAACTCCGCGATCCAAACAGAGAACGAACTTCGTCTAACGAGGGGAATCATATAATCCAAGATCAGTCTAATCCAGCAGTGGAGGAGGGAGATTGATGAGAGTGTTGTGTAACATTTTTATATTAACCCAAAAATAAATATGATGCTCTACTAACAATTCTTAAACTACATAATATATAAATAAGCTAGGATCTTATTGTTGTCTTTAATCTTATCTTATATATGGCTTATGTTACAAATAAATACCTAAAATATATCATCTTTTTTCATTTAAGTATCTAAAGTATTTTTTTCAAATAAGTATATAAACTTATCTTTTTTGTCAAAATAAGTACCTAAAGTATTTTTTTAGTCAAAATAGGTACGAAAGTATTCATTTTTTTTCATCTAAGTAATTAAAGTATTCTTTAATTAATATCACATGTTAACTTTTTCATAAATTAAATAAAAAATTAAATACTTTAAGTACGTATTTTGACTAAAATGATAAGTTTAGTTACTTCTTTTATTTCAGAATATGATTTCTTAAACAGCAGCGGATCTATTTGTGTGTGCCGTGGGTATGGCCTTAGCCCCCAAAATTTTAGGTCCGTTTTAAAACCAAGAAAATTAAGACGAGACTCATTCTATTTTTTTAATTTAAATATTTCTAAAGCTCTTATAAATTTAAAAATAAATAAATAAAACTTGATCTTTATTTTTTAAATTAATAAAATTTCTGCGACTCAAAAGATAAAATCCGAGTGATATTTTGCAACTGTTATGCGAAGCACAGACGAAAGCAGTGCAAGGTAAAATGAGCAAATTATATACTAAACAAATTGCATTCTATAAGAAAGAAGGACGAAACAATGCAAGGTAAATTGAGCACAGATTATATACTTGTTTTAGACCAAATGAAAGCCAAAACAAAACGTTGTCTTTGGCTTTAAAATCCTTGTTTTAACTGTACAGTCTCATGAAAATAGTACCAAAGCCAACAGTAATCATACTTTCAGTCTCACATTTGCAGCATTTTGAAGGGTTACAAAAACACATTAAACTGAAACAGAAAGCTAAAACGCAAAACACCAGCAGCAGACATAAATGTTGTTACTGTTAATCTTACTAAGAATGTAAACAACTTACAAATTTCTCGCCAAGGTGGTTGCACTCATGGCAAAATAATACTACCATGAGTTTAATTAATTTCTGTAATAATAAGTAAAGTAAAACATAAAGAAATAAGATTAAATATGTCTTTAGCCAGCTATGATTATTCATCTCCATCTATTAAATGACTGACCTAATAAGGGCTAAAATCACCATTTATAAATATTTTATTTATATAACTATGATTTGCTATGTCAAATGATTTAAATTGTGATTTAATTTTTCAATATAATTTGCTTTGAATGAAATATCTTTTATGATTGGATAATCCGAAATATACTTATTATTTTGCTCTGATCATGTTAGCAATCACTAAACGCAAAAAGGAACAACAAATCTACCGAGTGTTTTCCTTCCACATACTGTGAACTTTTTTCCAAGATCTCATCTACTAGCAATCTTCCTCCCCAGTATCCTTGCCGGTTCCCTTGTCAATTTCTTCATTTATTCCTTCGTTCCACCGAAAGTTTCCTTGTTGGTTTCCTCATTGGTTTTCTTACCGTTTTCTCATCGGTTCCCTTAGCGGTTTCCTCATTGGTTCTCTCGTCGGTTTCTTTGCCGGTTCCATCCAAGGTTTCCTCACTTGTTCCCTCACCGGTTTCCTGATTGGTTCCCTTGTCGGCTCCCTCATTAGTTCCCTCGCCAGTTGCCTCGTCAGTTTCCTCACTGGTTCCCTCGTCGGTTTCCTTGCTGGTTCCCTCGTCGGTTTCCTCGCTGGTTCCTTCTCCGGTTTCCTTGTCGATCTCCTCGCTAGTTCTCTCACCGGTTTCCTCGTTGGTTTCCTTGTCGGTTTCCGCATTGGTTTCCTTGTCAGTTTCCTCATTGTTTCCTTCGTCGGTTTCCTCATTGGTTTGCTCGCTGGTTCCCTCATCGCTTTCAAAGTCGGTTTCGGCATTGATTCCGTCATCGGTTTGCTCACTAGTTCCCTCATTGATTCCCTGGCCGGTTTGCAACTGGGTTCCATCGTAAAAAAAAGACTTCCTGAACGGCTCGGCAGCTGTGTCAGCAGCATTAACCAACTGATCTCCATCCCAATACAGCATCCGGTCCCTGCAGTGCAACCGCCATTTTCATTCAGAAACCAACTTTCTAATTTCGGAATATGATTCCACTATTTCAAAGGGAAATAACAACTTACGTATAAAATAAACCATTCTTTTCAATGGAAAAGGGCGAGGCGCAGGCGGATCATTATCACCAACCACAATCTGAACTCAGTAAGTACAAAAAACGCACTCAGATTATATTTGATCAACCAAAAAAAAAAGAGACAAAAACAGAGGCATAAAAAGAACTGACAAATTTCTCTCCAATGTGTTTGTTGCAATCTTTGCAACTGACATTGTTGACTGGCAATTCATGGATAATCGACGTGTGAATCGTCTCATCGATACTCAAGTTGGAACTATATATCAACCAAGCACAAAGACTAGATTACACAATGAAATGTAGATTGAGTTGTTCAGTGAGCTACAACTTATCAATCGTCGCAAAGAAGTCCATTCGACGTGCTTTTCTTTTCCAAAGAAATTAACTTATCCCACAATGAAAACGATCAAGAATCGAAGTTACATTAGTAAAACAAGAATATGTATTGGGATATATATTTTAAAAGAGAGAGAGAGTTTATACAATGCCAAGGAAGTTGACGGAGTCGAGGACGGGGTTTTTGCAATGAGTACAAAAGAAGTAAGGAGTTTCAATATTCAGATGATATGGAGGACCGGAGTTAGGGTTTGAAGGCGACGCCATTGAAACAGCTTTGAGGAAACGATATTTGATTGTTTTGTTTCAGCCGAGTAGAAGAAGAAACACCCAAAGTTATATTATAAAGATGAACATTCAGACGTTTCTTGATTCTGACTTCTTACCAATTTGTATTTTCTGAATGAGATTTAAGCTTCTTTGAAGGAGAAATGGGGATGAATGAGCTTTATATAAAGAGAACGAAAGCAGATTGATTCTTTTTCCGTTATAACTGTCGAGCGATCTGGCGGGAAAACACGGCCTAAATCCAAACTTATGGAATGGTGGTTGTGGGCACCACATTTTTATGGTCCTACCCAAAGGCCCAAAGCTTACTCAAACTAAAACTAACCCTTAAATCCAACCCTACCCTATAACATAGAACTGCCCGATACCTTCACGTAAATATAATTATTCAAATTTAAAATGTTTAGGAGAACAAAACTTCGTTATATTACTAAGATTTTTCAAAAGTTATAATCTGTACTATCCCTAATCTAGGACTGAATGGTAGTAGATGATAAAAAAAATTAAAACAATGAATTTAATTACATTTCGATTCAGACATCATCTAATGTTGGATAAAACAAAAACAGCATCCAATGAATTAAGGCTTCATTGAGAAATTAATTAATAAGTTCAAATTCAAATATTAAAAAATTATATTTAAAGTATTAATGTGGTCGTTAGATCATAAAGTAAGTTAAGGCATGTGCCTCCTCTCATCATTCTTTATCAGGTGGGACGCCTTGCCACCTCATACGAAACCACTTTGTCTTCCTTTTCGGAATTTTTTTCTATTTTTAATTTGTTTTCACTCACTATTCCATTTTTTTTTACGTTTTACCTAAATTAAACAGCTTATGGAGTGTCAACGAGTGTCAATACAAGTGATTGAAATTTAAAAATTTGAGTTTGGAATGTTAAGTTTAAATCCCATCACCGTTACTCTTGATAAACAATCTACAAAATCCTATGTAAATCTATGACCCTGACTGTGGATCCACCTAGACTTAATATTTTGTGTACCAAAAAAATAGCTTCTGACTTAGAACCAATTTGATCTCATAATTATGTAAATAAAATAATATGATTTACTATTTCTCTTTTTAATAAAATGATTGAGATAGAATTGTTAGTGACCCTCAGCCTGCATTCCAACCATTGGCCCTTTCCAAATATTTATTTTTAATGGTGTTTAGAACACTTATCTTTTCAATTTGTAGATATTTATTTGTCTTTCCTTTCCAAAATATTAAGTTGACTTTTCATTTCAGGTAGATATATGTAGTTGTGTGTCAATGTGTTTTGCCTAAATTCAATTTTCCATTTTTGATGTTGATGAATATTAGGAAAATTATGTATTCGAATTTAAAATTCATTATTTTTCTCATTTAAGAAAATCAATGCATAGATATTAGATAAAATTTGCTAAATTGGTCATACACACAAAATTTAAAATTATATACTTAGGAAATTCATATTTGATACTTCAATTTAGTAAGTGTTAGGTCAAACTCTTTTTTGGTGTCAAGATAACCATAAAATAAAATTTAATAATTATGAATAGTCGCCAATTCCTCAAAAAGAGTAGAAGAATAAGATATATTATGGGATATATAATACATTACAAGCTTATAATCATTATACTTCAATCTAATTATTATATTTGACCTATTAAAATGAAAAAAACTAAATAAAAAATAATTAATAGCATTGACGATATATGTATACAAAACATTTACCCAGATACATGTTATAAAGTCATAAAATATCAAGTAAATTTTGTTAATTTCTTGGGAACTTTCTTCAAAACTAACATTGAACTCTATTTTATTTGAAAGCCAACAACATGTATATAGAGTGCATAAAGTCACGCAACACAAGCCAATAACAACCCTTCTAGATGTACACTACCCCACTAACAAATCAATAACAGACTATACGCCAATGCCATGCAACAATCATTACTCAACTACATTAAGTTTTTGTCGAAACACATAAAAAGTAAGCCTTTGAAAGGGGCTCGGTGAAGCCATCTGCAAGTTGATATTGGGCAGGAACGTAGTTAACACATACCAATCCATTAGCAACTTCCTCCCAAACAAAATAAATATCAAGTTCAACATGTATGGAATGAGCATGAAACACTGAATTAGCACTCATGGCTACAATACTTGTGTTATCACTCTAAATAATTGGAGTCCCGTAACATTCAACTCCCATATCGACAAGAAGAGTGCACAACCACATAACTTTACAGATGATATCAGTGACCCATCGATAATCAACCTATATGGTAGAACGAGAGACAAATTTGTGTTTCCTAGAGAACCAAGAAAAAAGATTGTCACCAAAATACACACAATACACATATGTCAATCGTCTATCATCAGTATAACTTGCCTAATCAACATAAAAAAAAGCACAAAACACAAGAGAACTCGTAGAGGCACTAAACATCAACGCATAGTCAAGAGTACCACATAAATATTGTAAGATACACTTCAGTACTAACCAATGAAGTCCAAATGGTTGATGCATATACTGAGCAACACGACCAACACTAAACGAAATGTCAGGTGTGATATGAATAAGATAAAGTAACCCACCAATCACACTCCAATAAATATGAGGATCATCAAACGGATACCTATCATCATGAGTAAGTCTAGGCAACGAAAGCATAGGAATAGAAGTTAACCTTGCATCACCCATATTCGTATGATCCAACAATTCTCTAATATACTTGTGCAAACTTAACAAAAGAACACCATCACTATGTTCTATTGAAAATAGAAACAACAAAATGAAATCGTTAACACTAAATGAAAATTAATAAAATAATAAAATAGTAAATTTGAACAACCGCGTCATGGTATAAATAGAAACAACAAAATGAAATCGTTAACAATGAATGAAAGTTGTTGCTATAGGTGGTCATCCCCCAAGGTTAGCGCGGCTCTCATAAAATTCGTACACCCGAATTTTCAAAGTGGACAATTGTGGAATCACTCTTCTCACAGGAAAAAAATAAGAAAACTTTTTTAAAGAATTCTTAAAAGAGAGAAAATACTTTGAATTGTTAGATATTTTAAAATGATAAAACACATATCTATTTATAGGCTAATTAAAGGGGTAAAATCTTAAAAATAAATCAATAATAAATCACTGATTTAATTTTGAAATTAAATGTCTATTAATTGCTATAATTTTAGCTGGTGTAGCTGGCTAAACCTAGCCCCAAAAATCATCCAGTTTTGTCCAAAAAATAGTTGTTGAGACAACTTTTAAATCAGCGACACATATTGATGAATTAAGCTTCGAAAATAAAAATGTCATATGTTGTAATTAAGACTTGAACCTAGCCTCAAAATCATCTAAGTTCAATCTCTGGAAAGTCAAATTCCAATATTAATAATTCTTAAAATACCAACTGACACAGCTGTTACAACATATTAATTTTCAGATTACCAGCTTGCACAACAATTACACAGATAATTAATCTGACCGATTTAAAATTATTTTACTTATAAATACATTTTAAAAATTCTCATTTCAGTGTATTTTCTCTAATAATATACAACGCGCGCATACGTTGAATGTGGTTAAATAACTCCCTTGCATGCACGCGTCGTCACCGGGCTCGGCTCGTGGTAATGTCTTCGACACATCCAACACGTCCAATACGTGTTGGTTGTGCCTTTAAATACCCTTCACAAGGGATGTTTCCTCCCAATCTGGAATAAGTGCCTTTAACTTTTCAAGGCACAACCAACATATTCAACTTCAAGACCAAGAAAGTAACTTGACTCCATAAGATCAAGAAAATAACTCGACTCCACAAGATCCTTCAATGAAAATTCTTTGCCAAGCATGCTTACCATCTCCTTAACCAACGTATCAAAACTGCCTATGATGACTATGTCATCAAAATAGATAAGCATATAAACACAACAATCTTTATTCCATCGAACAAATAATAATACATCAGCAGGTTCCCCCGATAATAGATTTTTGCTCAAAACCAGAAGGTTGGACCATGAAAACATCTTCAACTAACTCAACATTCAAAAAATGCATTATTCATATCCACTTGGTGAAGTTTCCAATTGTTATGAACAGCCAAAGATAAGACCATATTCACCATCGAAGACTTTACAATGAGACTAAATTTGTCTCAAAAATCTTGGCCAGGAACTTGAACATACCCCTTTTCTACAAGACGAGCTTTGTTACTAGCTATAGAGCCATCCAATTGCAAAGCTATAGAGCTTTGTAATGACACCAATTTCCATGTTTTATTGTTAATAAGAGTATCGTACTCAACAAAAACAGCTTGCTTCCATTCTAGTGAAGAAAGAGTTTATTTTACCGTCGCTGGTTCAAGAGTGCCATTGTCCATCTTCATTACATGAAATACTTTTGGTTTGAAATTTCCTTGTTTCCCTCGCGTAACCATCAGATGCACATTGGCGACAACCCGTAAAGAATCTGTATCAATCAAACATGTAGAATCAAGCAACATGCCATCACCATTTTATCTAGAAACCCCAACATCAACAACCACCTCATTAGATAGCACCTCAACCACCTCACCAAGTTTCTCAGTCGAAGCTTTCGGTTCACGAGACTGCCCAAGTGCAGTTTCCATATTATCAGAAGCTGACCTACTAGAAGATTTTGTAGACTCACTCTGAATACTCCTTCGGTTGTTATGACCCGTACCACCAGTGCTAACATCCTTTTGCTGTAAATAAGACCTCATACTGCCACTTAGAAGGCCAATAATACGTAACAGTAATGTTGCACCAGGATGCACACAAGCCTGCTCCTTCGACGCAACACTACCACCTATATCACAAGTAGCAGCAAATGAAAAACCGTTTCATCAAACATAATATGATGAGATATATAAACACGTCCATTCTCCTCTAGACAAAGATACTCTTTATGTTGCAAACTATATCCAAGAAAAATACAAGGTTGTGATCGAACATTAAACTTATGAGAAGGTCGTAAACAAGGAAAACATTTATACCCTAATATCTGCAAGTGATCATAGGCACCTGCCCAAACAACTTCTCAAATGGAGATATATCATTTAACACCATGGTTAGCAACCTATTGAAAAAATGAACGGACGTCACAACCACATACGAACAAAATTTAAATATAATGATGCTTGAGCCAATAAAGTTAGCCCCATATCAATCACATGTCGATGCTTGCGCTCAACAACATCATTTTGTTTTGATGTATGTAGACATGTCACACGATGTACCACGCCACCGTCTTAAAGCACCTTAGACAACCAACGAAACTCCATATCTCAATCACTTTAAACTTCTTTTATACAAATACATAACTAGGTTTGCATCATCTATTGAAATAGAAGAAACACATTCAACGCTTACGACTTATCACATAATAAATACACCTAAGGGTGGCAAGAATAAACATCCACAAACAAAACCTAGTATCTAAAGTCATTAGACGATACATGTAATAGGCCCCAAAGATTTGTGAAAATCAATTAAAATAGTGCAACATATTTTATTTTTTATTTAACAAACGACAATTGATGACTTGTTCCTATTTGACAGGCAACGGAAACATGTTTTTTCATTCTATTACTAAGTGGAACATTAAATGAACTACTCACTTTTAGCAACACTTCATGAGAATGATGCCCTAAATGCCTATACAACACATCATAATCCAAGTTAAATGCACAAGCAAAACTTGATTCAAACCGAGTACCACTAGATTGAAGTAAAGTAGAGTCAAACTTATATAAACAACCATTTTCTCATCCTTCAAGTAAAATCTCCCTTTATCATGAACAACAAAACGATGAACGTGAAACTCCAAAAACATGCCATTATCTCGAGCAAGCTTAGACACCAAAAAAAGGTTTTTTAGTAATGTTCAACACATGAAGTAAATTAGTTAATTGCAAAGCACGAGAAGACGCAACTATAAATAAACGTCCAACATTAATAATACTTAACTCATTGCCATCACCAATAACAAGCTTACTTCATGTATATTTATTACTTTATAAAAATATAGTTTAAAGAATATGCAACAACAACAAAAGCTAAAGCAACAATAAGCTCTGATACCATGTTAGTTTCTTGAGAACTTTCTTCAAAAATATAACAATGAGCTTTATTTTATTTGAAAGTCAACAACACGTATATAAAATGTATGTAGTCATTCAACACACGCCACTAGCAAACCTTATAGTTGTACACTATTCCACTAACAAATTAATAATAAACTACAAGCAATATCACACAACAATCATTGCTCAATATTCAGCCCCTAACAAACCATGTGCTTTACCTATATGATAACAAAATTCAATTCACAAAATAATTTTGATCTATGGATAACATTATTGTGGTAAAGGTTGTAATGTATGAGGAATCATTATCATTATGCTATGCATTTATATCATAAAATAAACTTTGAACAAAATAAAAAAGATGTATGTTCTAATCATAACTATAGAATAAGAATGTAATTCAAATGAATCGTTACTTTAATAAAAGCTTGATTCTACTAAAAATATGATAATAAGACTCAAGATTATGAAAGATAATGAGACTTTTCTTATGAAAGTTTTCAAGTTATTTAATACTTTATAAATGTTTTTAAATTTTTAATTTTTAATAATTTATCATTATCATTTTTATTGATTCTAATATTTTGAAAATTTTATTTTTTTGAAATACTTAATAATGTTTTTAGTGTTAGTAATTTTTTATATTTTTAGTTTTTTAGTTTTTTAAAATTTAAATAATTAAAAAAATTCTTAAATTTGAATATGCCTTTAAATTTTCTAAAAGAATTAATTAAGTCCTTGAACTTTCTAATTGAAATTTTTCATCCGTAATTATAGGTACATTTTAGTACAAGTAATAAAATAATCCATGAACATATTTTTAATTAACTAGTTTGAATCATTCACGCTGGTTTTAGTTAGTTAACTAGAGTTGGATAATTTTAATTAATAAAATTGTTTATAAGAATAAATTATAAGAGTGTCTTTGTGGGATTATCTAATCAACAAGGGAAATAATCATTTTAGTGTTTGTTTGATTATCGAATAACTACAAATAAATCAGGTTATGAGGACGTTCCGAGTAACTATAACCAACCTATTAAAAAAAAGATAATCCTAAGTTAAAATCAATTATTAAATCATGTATTAAATTCATTGATATACATTGACTAAATATCTTCTCATCGTTGAATTTCAATTTATTTTTAATTGCTTTTTTTACGTTAATTTAATTCTTATTATATAAATACTCTTGTTTTACTTTTTGCTTATTTTTATAAAATTAATCTAACACCTTCTCTGAAAATTTGATTCTTCTTACCATCACTATAAAACTTATTTTGAGTATGAATTATTTTTAAAGGCTTCAACAACTTGTTACGAAGATTGTTATTCCTCAAAAATTTCAACAAGTGACTAAAAATGCAAATTTTGAAAGTTGGTGACTAAAGTATAAAATTAGAAAAGTTCATGGACCTAAAATGTAATTTTGAAAATTTTATATATTTTGGTCCCATGAATGTATAGTTTACCTTAAAAGAATGATTTTTATGATTGTCATGTTTTTATCCGAATTTTGTAGAAAACACTATTAATCAGTAAAGTTTGATAAAATAATCGGATATCCGAATTAAATAAAAAAATT